GAATTTGTGAGGGAGAACAGAGATGAACTTTTTAAAATCAGCTTCTCTGTGAGCTGCTCAATTCTCTGGGTACACATTATACATCTGTACCTCAAGGCAATAAAAGTATTTAGAATTAACTGTATTATATGATTAATATGAAGAATTCTATTTGTAAGAGAACTGAGGCAAACTTTCTCTGAACCCTGCTGTTGAAGAGAACAAATAAAAGCATGTGTCGGAGGTGTTGAACTCATTTTTGAGTGCAGCTAGTTTTTTAACCAACTATCTACTTGTCCTTTGTTGTCCATCATCAATTCTGAGAGCTGCAAATTTGCCCTCTCTGAAGAGACATTTCAAACGAAATGGGGCATCCTAATTCAGCTGCTGATTTCCATTGGCAGCTAGGAAAGAAAAAGTACCAGTTTAATTTTGATGCCTATGAAGGAATTAAATACCAGTGAGGGTACCTGTAACGTTGTTATACTGGGATCACATACGGCTTATGAAGTCTTGAAATAGGGAAGTGGGAACACAGGTGATTCTGAACTGCTCTTGATCTAGAAATGTCACTTTTGTGCGAAAAGAGCAGGGGAGTGGAAAATAGCAGACAGTTGTCAGAATATACTTCCTGCCCTGGTTCAGCCAACACCATATGCTTCTCGAAGTTCCATATTTCAAGACATTTCCTAACAGATAAATACTTGTACAGATTTATATTGCATATGAATCTATGAATCCCCAGGGGCAGCCTGGAGGATTGCAGAGTCCACCCCCACCTGAACTTTACAACTAGCAATAAATTCTTTCTGGGTGTTATTTACCTCCTGTGCTAAGTGCAGATGGTGCACATGTTGGGGCTGGCACAGCAGAGCAGCACAGGCTGTGCCTGTGCAGTAGCTCTCAGTGCAGATTTTCCTAGTTACCCCAGAAGTCACAGAGATGAGGACACGGTAGCTTGGTCTGACTGTGAAAAGGGGCACACAGGAGAAAGTTTGAAGGTACTGTACAAAATAATGACTTTTTTTCTGTTTTCCAACATATAACAGAAAAATATTCCCATCTTGTTAGTATTATCTTGAGAATGAATCTGTGCTATTCTTATTTTGTATAATACCGTTCTCTGAAATAGCCATGACGTTATATGCATGCGTATACGTCTGCTACAAAATTTCCTGTTCAGATCCCCACCAGCTAAGAAGTATCAGCGCTCCCACCGAGTATGTACATATACATATTCTGTCTCTGTATACTTGATCTTCAGAAAAGATGATGAGCAGTGCCAATTCACTTTGGCCTTAACTAAAACTGTACAACCCTCCATAATCTTGCATTTGATGGCATTATTCCCTTAAACAGTGACTTTAAAATATAAATTGGCATTATCATCTGATCCTGTCCTCACTCTAGGATAAATATAAAGTAATTCCACTCAATTTAATGTATTTATTGATTGATTTACATGACATGGAAACTTTGAGAGTGATTTTTATTAATAAATTAAAGAATCACTGAAGAAGTGAATCTGCTGTGTGCAATTACACAATCTCTTTTATGAGAACAGGCCAAAAGTGAGGCACAGACCCTTGAACTAAAATTACTTTAATGGCTAGAAAAGAAGTGATTCTTACCTCTTTCTTCTAACATGCAAGTCGCATTTTCACATTCTGCGTTATATGGTAAAACTAAGAAAATGGTATATAATTATTTTCACAATCTAGATGGTCAAACGCTGTACTCAAAAGAAAGATAGACATCAAAACAATGTACACAGAAAAAGTGGCTTGGGGATATATATTTTTATGATTTTTTTTTTCCCTAAAGCAAAAAGAAGACGTTTGTGATTACTGAAATACAATGCAAGTTACTTGAAATTCAAATAACCTGCAAAACTGCAAAACTGGTATGTGGCCACGAGAGGGCAGAAATAACATTCATTTTATAACCCCGTTTCTGTGGGAGAATAACATATTCCTTCAAAGAAAGTGTGTTTTAGATTGCCATAAGACGCTACCGAAGCAGTTAGGAAAACACAAACTATACGGTGAGCTGCACAAAGGCTACCTCGTGATCATTCAATGTTAACAATGGCTGGTAATACTGAACTTTCAATTTTTAAATATATAAACCATTCCTAGAACAAGTAAACTAACAAAAAAAGAAAAAACTGTAATGGCAATTGATTTAAAGCCTGAAAAGAGCATTTCTTGAAGTGTGTATTCAGCAGGCTATCAATGTTTTCTATCTTTTGTCTTTTAGCATTGGCAAAAGGATAGCAATGTGTATCATTTCTCATTTCAATAAACAGTTTGCTTTGGCTCTTTCTGGATCTGAATGCATCTGTAGCTCTCGCCACATAACAGCTATCAAAATCAGTGAGAAGTCTGGAGAACAACACCTCTGTCCTCTTTGTCCAAATGCTCACATTCTTCTGTTTTCACTACCACAATTAGGAGAAAACGAGAATTAAAGAAATGACTTTTCTCCCTACTTAGCCGAGTTGGCCTCAGCTCTTCTCCCTCCACTGTCCTTTAGGTAACAGAAATACAACTTTAATCAGTCAGAAATGAACTTTCTGTTTTCTGTTTCCGCTGGCTAAATTACGTTATGTCACTTGCGGCGTTTCCAGTTTCAGTGTGGAGAGATACTGGTTTAATAACTGTCTCTGCAACCTGAATCTTCTCTGCATTAGGTAACGGGAGGTTTGAAACAGCTCTGATTTGAGATCATACATCAGCCACAGTCAAACATGGATGACTGTTTTATCTGCCTATCAGAGCCATAAAGTAACTTTATTCCCTGGGAGCTGAATATGATTATGGCAGATTATGCATCCAATTCAAACAGCGGCTTGTTGCAAGGCTCTTTCTTCCCATTGCCCCAGCACCGCCTCAGCAAGCACACTGTTATGCCAGAGCTTTCATTTCGCTCCAGAGCTTTCATTTTGCTTATCCTACATTTTCCTTTTCCCTCTTTTCACATAACTCACTTAAGTAGATAACTTAGTAAAGATGTCAGGCTTGTAATTATCATTTTTAGGATTGGGTTGAGGTCAATTTTTCTTAGGTCTCCTGTACAGCCTGGGAGGAATTCTCAAAAGAACATTTGCCTCTTAATGCCACCTCATTTTTGCTTTTGCCTTCTGACTTCCGCAGTGTTTTAGAACTAAAACTGGTTGTGACAAGCTCATTCTCTGCATTCTGTGTACCAGACAAAGTCCTTTCAGGTTAAATTGATGGAGTCAGGGCCACAGGAGTGTTCTATTCACAGTCCTTGGAAATCATCAAAATATCCACCTTTCCCTAACTTCTTTGTCACATCAGCAAAGACAGTCACTGTAGCCACCCTGCTAAGGGAGCAATACAAAGAGATATCAGGGACTTTTGTTCACTAGTTCTGATCCCTAAAGGGACTCACTAACACCTGGAGACACAGCTGAGCGATGATCATACACCAGAGATGCATCCAACTTCTTGGCAAGCAGTGGTAGATCTACATGTGGGAACCCTCTTCTGTGTGAGGGTTTGGAGGGTACAAGTGATCACCTGAGACTTTTTCTCCCAGTTAGCTCACCTCTATAATAACAAATAATGCAGGTCAGTCTCGTACTGTCTTAAAACTTCAACTCTTTACCTTCCATGGTCTTTTTTTGGAAGGAAATAACAGAGGTTTTCAAAACCTGAATAATAAGTGAATGAAGGAAAAGATTCTGCTGAGCCTTGCTATATATTCATCTCTAGGCTAAGATGAACCGTGGGAAAAAAACAAAGAAACAATGTTTTCATGGAACATATTTAATCTGTGAACTCCAGGGTTATTGATTGAGCTATAGCACTTGTACATGGCACAAACATTAAAGGGCAGTTCGCTTTAAAGTGATGGCCAAGCCATCCATGTTAAAAATAAACCAGTGTTCCAAAACCATTGTGAACAAATTACTCTCTACTGCACAATAGCACAACAGTGTATATAATAGGTCTTCAGAAAAGCTACGTATGCATTATCACTTGCCAAAAGACTTACTTACAGCTTTCTCCCAATGCTTTTCTAAGAAAGGTAGGTCCTCCAGCTCATTTTACCCTGCCTGGTGAAAGAAACTACAGAACGAAAATACTCTTTTCAAACACATCCATTTATTTTGACACCAATTCAATTCAAACAAAAAACACATTGAGAAAAAGAAAAGGTCAGCAGAAGAAAGTAAAATAGATCAAAATCTATCACCATGTCTGTCAAACACAGGAAGACAGAAACTTCCAGTAAGCCAACTAACCAGGATCCAAACTCCAGCAATAAGTCCAGCTATTGCAATGGATGGTGTGAAAATCCCCCACAAAACGTAAGCAAAAGACATTGATATCTCTGAGAATGGGAATAAGAAGATCTGTTCACAGAAGATCTGTTGCTGTGTTGCCTGTCTTATCTGAAATGTTTTATGCTCATCCAATCTGTGAAGAATTGAACCGACACCCAAACGACTTCACTAAGTTCTTCCCAGACATACTCAAACATGGTGAATTTTTCTGTAGTGAATTGCTTTTGGCTTGGCTCGTGGCTGCATTTATTACTTTATCACACCTAGCATTAGTCAGGAGAGGTAAAATAGACCATTAGCTACTTCTCTCTCAGACCCCAGTTTCCAAGTGTGCTGTCTTCACGCACTAGGCAACCATGTGTTGACATCACTAGCTATCTTATTCCGTGCGTTATCCCAAAAGATGCTCATCACCCTCTCACTGTGTTGTCAGAAACTACAATAAGACATGCCAAAGTATATCCACAATGTACAACACTGAGCCAGAAGGTAGGCTCAGTTTCTAGTTTTGCTCCATTTAGTTTCCTGCTAGCCTTTTTTTTGACAACAGACAGAAAACCTTGGGAGGAGAGAGGCCATTCCCCAAATACTTCTCCCCACTCTGGAATATCTTTCTGGGGTTGAGTAAGCACAGTATTTGAAAGCCTATTCCATTCAGAAATTAATTTTTACTTAGGTATCATTCCTACTGGAAGCTCTTCTTAGCCAAAAGGCTTATAGTGGGATAATTCATTCTCTTAGCTGGAGATTTCTGAAAGCTCTGGGGCTGAAGACTGCAATTCCTCCTTCAGAGAGACATCACCATGGAAACTAGTGATTTCCTTTGGGGCTGAGCTATGTGGGTGATTTCCTCAGGGAAAGGAAAGACTGGAGACTTTGCGCCTCCCACCTGGTTTATTACTTCATCATCTCTCTCCGAGCGTTCTCCTCAGCCATCCATTACCAGCCCTCTATCCTCAGTGGCCTCACTGAGCTATAACCTCTCTGGCTTGTGTGAAGGAGTTGGTCCAGTTTCCCAGGAAACAGAACTAGAAGGAGAGCGGAGGTTCCTTCTGCATCTTCTGCACTGTGCCAGGAGAGCACTGCTCATAGGCATGGGGATGCCTTGATCCTTGGTTTGGATCTGCTGCTAAAGGTAGTAGTCAAGGGCAGGGAAATTACCTGCGCGTAGCTGGTGGCGTAGATCCCTGCCTCAGGGGGTAGCCTTTTTTGTGGGGCTGCAAAGAGAGAGGCTGAGCGCTGTGGGACCTGCCTACCTGCACAGTGGATATGGGCAGAAAAAGCCACTAAGTCATTAGCCCCAGTGGTGGCGGCCTTTACGTTTCACAGAAAGGATAGTAAAACTGGATAGAGAGGAATTTCAGCCAGGGTCTGAATAACGTGGACTCAGAACTGCATTACATTACAGAACCACAGCAGTCCAGCTGGAAGGAAAGTCCAGCTTCTATTTCTTGCCACTTGCAGATTTCAAATCAACAGCTCTGAATATTTTTGTCTTTGCAAGCCAGCAGTATTTGAATCTGAGTCATCAGTATGATATTCCCATAGTGCTCATGTGGATATCATAGCAGACCACCCAATGCTCTAGAAACTGCCAGTGTGACAAAATTCACGTTGACTTTTCACTTGAACTTACTGTATAGCTGCTTTTCTTACAGTACATCTAGCTAACCCCTCCAGACATCCTAGAAGAGTAACATACATAGATATTTTCAAATTATTGTCATGCCTTCATAAGGAGAAGCTAAATGTTTTGCATTTCACTGACTTATGGCTGAAAAAAAGGGGACTTGATCAAAACATCCCTTTTGTCAAACCTTTGCCAAAGTCAAGACTGCAAGCCTATAAGAGTGAGATGAGTGTTTATTGCTCCTTCCTCCCTAAGACCTTCCTCAGATTCCTCTTGCCATCGTAAGTTCCATATCCATAAGCTAGCAGCCCTTCAAGTGCAGAGAAATACAAAAGTGGATAAAAGGTACAGGTAAAAACGTAAGGCGGTAAGACAAAGGCCTCTCAGCCTCTTCCAAAAGATGAGCCATTGTTTTTTATAGTCAAGAGGACCCTTGTCACTGCTTGCAGAGAGAAAAGGGAAAGTCAGCGTACCCTTTCATGCCTATGAACTTCTGAGTGTATTACACTCCCATACTGGGCTTGTGCTAGAGCAAATATGGGCACCAGTGCTTTCTCAGGAAAACCTAGGATTCTGCCAGATGAAGTAGGACACAGATACAAGGGAATGATCCACCAGTTCCTGTTGAAGAGTAGTGCCTCTTTGTGTACTTCATCTAGGAAGCTGTTGGTGCTTTTTCAGCAAAGACTCCTACTGCTGTGAACCAGAGCTTCGCTGGGTAGAAAGGACAAGTCCCAGCACTTTTCTCTCACGCACCTGAGCAGCTCAGAACAGAGGCAACTTGTACAGATATAATGGCTGTATGGGGTTCTAGAAAGCAGAGGGTTTTAGGCTGTTCCATCTTGCACCTTTCCTCATAAAGAGCTATTCAGAGCACGTGCCCATGCCACCAGTGTTGAAATACAACTTCCCTCAAGTGAAAGGAGAAAGAAAGCATATCCTCTTAGCACAGATGTAGAAGGAAAGAGGAATCATGGCAATTATGAGAAAATTCTTTCTATGCGAAGTATCAAGGGATTCTCCTTTCCAGAGAGACTGGAACTCAAAGCTAAATCCAAATGATCGCAAGAGATACTTTCTTAGGGCACGTCCAAACTTTCTCCTGTCATTCCTTGAAAGTTTTTCTAGCTCCTATTCACAAGTAACACAAAGCAACCGTATCACATGCCCTTATATGATCTCTGGCTCTTTTTTGTGTTTTATTCTGTAATCTGATACAAATGACCAGTGTAGTAGTAGTAGTAAAAGCAAACATTGTTTCCAGGCTATACTTGACCAGAGTTAGGCAGAAATCATATATATTTTTCCTCCTTAGCCTCATAACGCATGACTG